TTGACATGTCATATCTCTAGATTGTACCCCTCATTTAAGAAATTTAGTGAGTAACCGTATTGTTAATTTTACATATTGTAACTTTAAATTAAAGAAAAAAAAACTAAAAGAAAAAATGTATAATAAAGTTGTGATTGTTGCAAGGAACATTATTTATCTAATAATTTTTTAATACTATTAGTTTGTGATACATAATATATTATTTTTTCTGCCATAATAACTAACTTTTTTCTGTACCCCTAAACAACCTATCGCGTACCCCTAGGGGTACGCGTACCACAGGTTGGGAATCGCTGCACTAGGCGTTTTTAAACGCGCATTAAACCCGCGTTTAACGCACGTTTTAAAGAACCAAGAGTTCTACTAAAGCGCCCGAAAAACGCGCGTTTTAAGAAAAATCTATAAACGCGCGCTTGGACGCGTTTGAGTGTGTACGCCTATGTAGAACTCTTGGTTCTTTAAAACGCGCGTTTAAAAACGCCTAGTGTGTACGCAGCCTCAGGGAAGTTTGATGGATACGCATCCGACGTTAATGCCCAGCGATCTCATGGAATTTCAACTTTCTCTCCATTTATAACATGGGAGAAGGTTTTTAAAATAAATCTAATCGCAAAATGTACGTCACAAACGTAACATTTATTTGTTAGCATCTTGTCGTCTCGTGGAACGCATCGCATCCACTCCTCAATTTTATCGCTAGGAACACGAAATAAATGTCTCTTCTCGTTCGATGACTTATATCCTGCCTTGCATCCTGGCACAAAGCACGTTGGCATTTTTATGTAGCTAAAAAAACAATTATTATAGGTCAAAATCACTGACTTTAGTATATACTTAGCAAGAACAACGCTCTTCTGCTAACAGTGGCGCCAACTAGCGGCAAATACTGTCTCTAGCTAAGTTTGAACTATTAGTCGAAAAACCAGTTAATCTACAGACTCTGCTATCGGCAACCTGACATATTAACTGTACTTGAGAGCATAGCGCAAGGACCAGTGTATCTATACCAGTGTCGGAGTTAAAAAATTAAGAATAAATAAAATAATTTATGTCGAGGCAAAATTCCAGTCCATTCCGAAATTTAATACCATAATTATGTTTCTAAGAATTAAAATATAATAATTATATCAATTTATTTAATATTAAAAATTTTTTAAACATCTTTAATTATTTCAAGGTTAATATCAGTAGATGGCGGTATTTGTTTACTTTCGTTATCGAATCCACGAGTGTGCGAGTACAGAAAATAAATTTGTGTAACTTTTATGATTTTGACAAATGTGAAGGTAAATTTATCAGATTTCGTTTGTTTTTATTTGTAATATTTCTGTTAGTATTAACAATTTTAAACTGAGCAATGGTGAGTTATGAAGGAGGAAGGTCGGTAGATCAGGAAAACAAATTGATTCTCACAATGATCTCAATGCATGATTTATTTATTTGCCGGCAATTAATAATTTCTCACATCGCCCAATCATTTCAGAAATGTTTGCATTATTTTTTATACCTAATTCTGTGCAAGCTTATAAATGTCATAGGATGTATTCGTATACATATCTTGCAATTCACGTTAAGGAATTTCTAGTGACCAGTTCCACAACTATGGCAAACAATACTGTATGTCTTGTGGATCTTCTTTATATAACTAAATAATTGTATATTTAATGCATGTTTTCAAATTTTTTAATTTTTTTGCTAATCTAAATAAATAAATGTATTTAAACAAAATATATTTAACATGTTGTTAGTTCTTAGATAGTAATTCTTGAAATAACTTATTTAATAAAGTTTTAAAAAACTTGTAAAATAAATTAAAAAGTAATTATTATAAAATTTATTTCATACATTGGCTGCAATTAACTGTGTGGCATAGATTTGCACAAATGCCATAAAACTGGTATATGTATTGCTGTGTATGTTGCAAATAATAATTTTCAACATATATAGCAATACATTCAATACTGTAATACTTCATAATATGTCATAGATAATATTTCATAAATGCAATTTGAGTCCTATTGTATTTATATAATAAAGTTACAGCCCATTGAAGTTTAAGTTTCTTGTTTTTATGATAACACAGCTGAATTATTCCAATCCAATAAACATTGAACAAGTTGCGTGTCATCTATATTTTGTATGATAAATATTTTTGACAAAACTAAAGCAATTTTTATAATTATTTAACAAATATGGCTGTCATGTCATAATTTATAGTGCTCTCTTAATAATGTAATATATTCTTTTAAAAGAATTTATTTTGATGAGAGTCCCATTAAAAGATAGAATATGTATACGTAGTTATATAGAGCATTCAGCAAGTTATCAATGATGAATTGGATATTAACCCTCCTGCCACAAGGTGGCATATCAGGACACATATCACAAGGCAGTGTCATATGACACTTACCGTATTTTTCGCCGTATAAGACGCACTTTTTCTCTCCAAAATCGGGGGGGAAAAAGTGCCTGCGTCTTATACGGCAAATACAAAAGCCCACCATGGCCCTCCGCTGCCCCTCCACTTCTGCATACATACATAACCGCAGGAATACTCGGCCACTCCGTTCCCTTCCACCTCTTGGCGCCGTCTGATACCAGGAAGCTCCGCTCTGCCTCGCACTGGCTTTGTGTGGTCTTTGCCTCGTGCTGCGATTGGCTGGGCGAAGAGGCACGTGCCTTCGCTCTCTCCCGCGCTGGCTTTGTGCGGTCTTTGCCTCGTGCTGCGATTGGCTGGGCGAAGAGGCACGTGCCTTCGCTCTCTCCCGCGCTGGCTTTGTGCACTTTTTAGAGTCTCGTAAGCCAGCACGGGAGCGGGTGAAGGCACTCGTCTCTGCGCTCAGCTAATAGCAGTGATATATGTAGTATGGTATATCTGAATGAAATATATCATATTTCATACCACCCCATCAAGATGTCAAAGCAGAAGAGACTGTTTATGATAGTAAAGATAGCTCTTAGTATGTTACATGGTTGACATAAAATTTTTCTTAACTGCTGTTAACTTTATACAGTTGATATAAAATATTTTACTACAGAATTTGGTTCATAATCTTTTTTTTTCTGAATTTGCCTCCTTTAAAATTGGGTGCGTCTTATACGGCGAAAAATACGGTAGCTAAAAAAACTGTTTTTCCTTATATAAATTACGTTTATTTGGTTTAAATAATAAATATACGTGAAAAGAAAATATGTATATATACAAAATATACAAAATTGTGTTTAGTTAGGAACAAACTTTTTGTATTTATCATCTGTATCTGCAGCCTGTTGCCGTAACAATTCTTGACGAATTTCTTCGTGTGTAGTAAACTGTTGATATTCTGTCATAGTAACCTTCCAAACAACGGTAGATAATCAAGAAATAGCTCTTTAGGCTTTTCCTACCTGATGAAAAACGTTAACGTACATCACAAGAAGGTGCCGTATCCGACACTGGAGCAGAGTGGGCCTTGATTATACCTAAATTATAAAAAGAATTGAAGGTAAACGACTTATTTTTTCATGCCGCTGTCTTGAGAACTACTGCTCGATAGGGTAATTTATGGTCATGACCCCCCAACACTTGCTGTTTCTTGATTGCTGTTTCTTGTACAAATGAAAACAAACAAGATGTGTCGGATATGACACCACCTTGTGGGAGGAGGGTTAAATCACTGCATTGCATTTTAAGATGTTTTATATTATTGGGCTGCAATTTGGAAAAATTGTAGACATATGAATTCCCACTGTTGTCCATCTGTCCGTCTTTCCGTAATCATAAGAATAGTGTCAGATAGATGAAAATTAAGACCAGATATGGAAAGTCTAGGGGATGGGAGGCCCCAATTAACTACATATGAACTTCTGCTTTGGGCTGGAAGTCATGTTGTTTCAATTAAAAAATTTTTTCTTGAACAGAGTTAGATACATGAACATCATGACTTCATTGTTAACAGGAAAAGTATGATGTATAGGGGCAAGGCACTACTGAACTTAAATGCATTGTAATGAAAAATTGCAGCCTGATATTCTGACAATGTCACAATAAATAATTTCTCAAAAGGAATTAGAATATTTCAGTTATCAAAAAACAGAATACTGCCACTTAAAACTGGTTATATTTGAATTAATAACACTAAAACCTAAATTCCAGCTGTTTTTATAAAAAAAATGCAAATGTTTTCATGGTGTTTAAGATGGGCGAAAACTTTTGTATTTTTTATAAAAACCAGTTGGAATATAGGTTTTAGTGTTAGTAATTCAAAAAAAATAATTTTTATTTAAAGGCTATCTATGGAATGAATCAACTTGAGAGCAATGTCACGCATGATGTTGCTTCAGTTAATCCAATCAGCAAATTCCCTAGTGATGTCAACATAATTCATTTAATATATCAGGCAATATGTGAATTTTATTTTCTCTCACTGGAATGGCAGAATGACTTTTCTGTTAATTGTGTTAATTTTTTATAGCATGCATTAACTTTAAAGAATTATGCATTTAACAACAATTATAGTAAACTACTTTCTATTCTGATACCAGAATGTAAAGCTTCCATAACACTGTTTATAATGGCAGTGACATGTTTAACAAATGAGGAAGAAACCAGAAGTAACTTGTCACAAGTAAGTGATCAATGGGTGATGCTCATTGGTTAATACCCAAATTGATTCTTTTCATAGACAGACTTTAGTTTAAAATGCTCAATTTTATGTGGGATTCTCTATAATACAGAATATTAATTTAATATGATTTAATGTTATGTTTGTACTGATGATCTACAAAACTAGATATCAATAGCTTTAGTATCTCTATTATGAAATTCTTTTAAGAGAAGGAATTTAATTGTAAAAAAAAACAAAATTGTAAAAATTAACAATCTTGATAGGAAAAATAGTAAAACATCAAATTTATTTATAAAATTAATCAATAGTGTCAAAATCAAATATACAGTCTCAACTATTTCAAAAATATAAATATAAAATTAGAAATACAAACAAAATTTATTACATGTTCTGTTGAATTTGGTTTATGAGATCGACTGCAATATTAATTACCATATATGTCAGCATCTAAGTTGCCTTTTTGCAGCATGAAAAGGTCTCTCCAAAATGATTGACTTATATGATGGATATAAACTCTTTAGAACAAGAGTAAACAAGTAGAACAATACAGTAGAGCCTTGAAAACTCGGCACTCGATAACCCGGCACTCCGGATAATAACTCGGCCACACCCTGGTAGAGCAAAAATACCCTTAGATAATTAATTTTCATCATAGACAGCTTTATGCTTCATAAAGTATTTTTCTGAGGTCTGTCTTATCAGGTAAATTACTGTACACAGTGTATTCATTAATTTTCATTTTCATGTAGTAAAGACTCTATGCCTTCATAAAGTACATACTTTTCCTTTGTTTAAGGGTATTTGGGCAGTTTATTCTCTGTTGTATTCTCAAGCAAACAATATAAGCAACATACAAGTACAGTACAATATTTTCTGAGGAAACACGCATACTTATCCTTTTTTAACCCCATTCCCAATAACCCAGCATTTTCACAAACTCGGCCACCCTTCGGTCCACATTAGGCTGAGTTTTTGAGGCTTTACTGTACTCCTAAAAGTTAGCATGCCAATCAAAATTCAGTATAAATGAACACTGCAGTACATTCTGTTTCCAACAAATAATAACTGCACATTACTGATGGAAATGATATAGTTAGCAAAAGCTTATTTCAGTATTTTGTGATCATATATTGTATGTAGCAGTTTCATTCTGGTGTTATGTTGTGTAAATTATTTATATATTATTGGAGGTGATGAATTTTAGCTTGAATGTGTTTACTTGTAGATATGTTGTTCAATAGAGTTTTTACTAAGATAACTTATTAAAGACTTTTACAGCTGATTGCAGAAACAGAGTTTACATTAAATAACATTTAACAACCAAAAGACATCTAGATGTTGTCTGACTGAACCATGGTTTAAAATGCATTGCAAAGACAATGATTATCTATTTCTGAATGCCATCTAAATGAACCTCAACAAAACATTGGCTATTACTTTCTTTGACGTTACTCCTCTCTTTTAGGAGTTGATCAGCCAATTGGGTTATTTGTTTGTGACATAAGAAAAAACTCTGATAAGCTGATAAGCTATCTTCTGAAAGATTTTGGCAGCATAAAATCTTAAAGCTGTCAACAATTGTAGTTTGGTAGTTAATGACAATTCTTTTCTATTTTGATGTTTAATTTCATTGATATGATTTTAAATTTGAATAAGCAATTATTTATTGTGATACAATG